GTAAGCATTTGTTAATTTATCACTCTGTGCCAGGCACAAAGACAAAAATGAATCAACTACCCTTCCCTCAAAGGTCGACAACGTGTGCATTTAGATGTGGATGATGTAAATACTCGTAATGTGGAAGGGGGGAGATGTTGTACTAGCAGCTGGGAGGACCAGAAAAGATCATGTAGAAGTCACTTAACCAACCTCTCTGGGTCTCAGTTTCCTCCTCTATCAAAAGAGGGGATTGGGCTAGGTGACTTCCAAGGATCTAAATTTAGAGCAATTGGACTTGGAGTAAGAGGAATCTGAGTTCAAATCCTGCCCTAGACACATTCTGGTTGTGTGACTGTGGATAAGTCCCTTAACTGCTCAGTGCCTCAGTTTCCTCATCAGTAAAATGAGGATAATAATTGCATTTACCTCCTAGGGTTGTTGTGAAGATAAAATTGAGATAGTTTTTTTAGTGCTTTGCAAATCTTAAGGTACCATACAAAATCTAGCTATTATTTCATTAAATCAATGATCCTATAAAGAGGTACTTCATCTTAAAACTTATATATCCTGACCTGAAGAAGTTTCTATTTCCCCTAAAGCTGAGAATGGCCTGGGATGAAGTAGCTACCCAGACCACAGCACTTTATCTACCTTACACAACATTGATCCTTTACATCCTCCCTCCTCCCCACCTCTGCCCTGACACAGTCATAATGGACTCCCTGAAGCCCCTTCTAAAGATTAAACAATTGAGTCTCTGTGGCCAAGCCCCCCTTTTGGCTAGGGTTCAGATTTGGTCTCATCCAACCATACCAGTTAGAATTTTCACTTTCCTCTGCTCTAATTGAACAATTTACTGTAAATAGCTGTCATTCACTGTCAAAGCCACGGAGCCTCATTACCCAAATGGAGGTGAGTAAGGTTTGGCTTTTAATGTATTGGGCCGGATAAAATGGAATGATCTAAATGGAGCCATCAATACTGGTGGCTGAATTAAGTCACAAGCACTTAGAATTTCAAGTCCTTCTTGTAAATTACAGGCTCCCCCGCCTCTCTCCCACCGCTTGGAGAAGAATGTGCATGAAATATAGCTTGCTGTTTCCATCTCTGGACTCCTAATGATGTGGAACAGGCCTCCTGGCATTCCTGACTTGGGACTTGCTGGGAGTGGGGCACTTCTACTTCCCTCTCTCACTCTTCCCCATTCTTTCCATCTCTCACTCTGCCCTGCCCCCATCCCAAGTCAATGGCCACAAGAAAGAATTTTTCATCCTGACCTTTCACGATGCTGGGCAGCATCACAGGATCACAGACTTACAGCTGGGAAGGACATTGGAAGCTATGTCGTCTAACCTCTTCCTTTTATGGATGAGGAAGCTGAGATCTAGAGTACCTCTTTTTTTTTTAATTCAATGCAACTTTACTTCATAATCTGAAAAATATAACAGAGTTTCATTATTAATTATAAACTAGTACAAGACGGCTTGCCGGGAATCTGGAAGTATCAGTCTGATTCCATATCACAATTCAAGATTTTTTTCTTTAGGTAATGTTATTACCTCTGGGAAGGAAGTCACTTGTCTAGAGCCAGGCAGTATCTGAACTCGGGTCTTCTGATTCCAGATAGAGTGGACTACTCCACTGTACCATGTTGCCCAGCCCCGTTGCTTGGGGTCATAGGCAACAGAGCTAGGAAGAACCTTTGAAATCGTTTATTTCTTCTCATCCCTCATTTTACATAGGAAGAAACTGGAGGTCTTACTAAAACACATAAAATTAATAAGTAGCAGAGCTGAGATTTGAACTCAAGACCTCTGAATTCAAATTCATTTCCCTTCTAAAAAAAAAGTTCCCCTTATGCAGAGAGAACAAGAACAAATGTTATTTTCCCCCCCCTTTTATGAGGAAAAGTAGCAGTATTCAGTGATCAAGAGAGAGTCAGATGTGGCGGGGGTGGGGGGGGGGACTGCAATTCATTCCTTAGGGCTCTTTTATATAGAATTTCCCTTGTGGTCAGTATCTTTAAAATGGATCTTTAAAACCTGGAAAGACTTATATGGTCTGATGCTGAGTGAAGTGAGCAGAACCAGGAGGACTTTGTACACAATAACAGCCAAGTTATGCGATGACTAAAATTGTTAAACTGAACCCTTCTCAGCATTATGAGGATCTAAGACATCTCCAGAGGCCTCGGTGTGGAAAATGCTGTCCACATCCAAAGAAAGAACTATGGAAGTCGAATCGCTCTCACTTATTTTTACCTTCTGTTGAGTTTTGTTTCATCTTTCTGATGGTTCCTCCTATTGGTTTTAATTTTTACTTACAACTTCACTAATGTGAAAATATGTTTAATGGGTATATAAATGTAAAGCCTGTGTCAGATTGTGAGCCGTCTTGGGGAGGGTGGGGGGGAGGAAAGGGGAGAAAAATTTTCAACTCAAAAGCATATGGAAATGATTGTTGATAAATCAAAATAAATTAATAATAATAAAAAAAAATAAAATGGATCTCTTGCCAAAGAAGACTTTGGCTAACTGACCCCTTCTCAGGACCCCAATATTCTATTCAACACAACCAACTTTTTCTTTAAGAATGTTAAATTGTTATTGATACCTTCTGTTTGTATAGCTGTTTCATTCCCCACCCTCCACCTTACCCACCTGGCCTTGTAGGCAAGAATTAAAAAAAAGAGAGAAAAGCAGATAAAGAAACAGACCAACACAGTAACTGAAGTGGCAGCATATTCAGTGTTTCACATCCATAATACCCCACCTTTGCAAAGAAGGAAGGCAAGTGCATTTTTTAAAGCCTTTATCAACATATAGTATGGGCAGCTAGGTGGTATGGTGGACATAGTGCCAGGCCTGGAGTCAGGAAGACTCATCTTCTTAAGTTCAATTCTGGCCTCCTACACTAACTAGCTGTGAGACCTTGGGCAAGTCACTTAACCCTGTTTGCCTCAGTTTCTCATCTGTAAAATGAGCTGGAGAAGGAAATTGTAAACCATTCTGATATCTTTGCCAAGAAGACTGCAAAGAGGATCACAAAGAGTTGGATGTGACTGCAAAATGACTCAACAATAAGTTTGTATGTATACACAAAATTGCTTGAGGTTCTAGAATTACGAAGGTCTGAGTTCAAATCTGACCTCAGACACTTACTAGCTCTGTGTCCCTGGGCAAATAACCTTTGTTAGCCTCAGCTTTCTCATCTGTAAAATGGGGAAAATCATAGTACCTACTTCCCATGATTGCTGTGAGGATGATATCTGTCAAGCACTTAGCTTAGTAAGTGCTACATAAACGTTAGCTGTTATTCTTATGTTATCTGTGCACTTCCTGTTTCTCTAGAATGTAAGCTCCTTGAGGGCAGGGACTTAGTTATTTTTGTGGTTGCATTTTCAGCTCTTAACACTGTTTGTGATGCATAATAGGTACCTAATAAATGCTTGAAAGACTTAAATTCAGTAGGCCGTGGGGGGTATATTAATATAGTAGTATTGGTAGTGGGATAGAATTAATAGGACCTACTAACTGAGGTTAATGAGGGCTAATGAAGAGCCTAAATCAGGGGTGGAGAACCTGCAGCTTTGAGGCCATGTGTGGCCCTCTAGGTCCTCAAGTGCAGCCCTTTGTCTGAATCCAAACTTCTCAGAACAAATCCCCTTCATAATAGGATCTAAGCCCTAGATCAATGGGACGATTGTGGTAACAGCAGAAGTAGGAAATCCAAGAGAGAGAGAGCAGTGTATGGGTACCAGGATCGGAGATGTTCTAGGTGATTGTTATATGGGGAGTTCATCCCCTTGAGAGTCAGGAAGAGGCTGAGATTTTTCTGAATTTCCTGTTGTGGGGTAGGAGAGTCTAAATCTATGTGGCCCCACCCTGGAACTGGGCTGAGGGCAGGGGATCATGATGGCAAAAGGCCTGGCCTGGCAGGAAGAAAATCTAGGGTTTCAGTCCCAGTTCTACCATTAATTAATTAGCGTTGTGATCTTGGATAAGTCACTTGCTTTCTCTGAACCTATAAATTAAGTAATTGGGGAAAGGTCCCTTCTAGCTCTAGATTTACAGGATACATGCTGGGAGATAAATGATTTCTTGTAACTTCTGAGATCAAACAGAATAAGGATCAGGCCCCCGGTAATTTATACGCTTTTGCAGAGGGAAGACCCAGCTTGTCTCACAAATGAGTCCTGAGGCCAATTTTTCAAGAAAAGAAATCACATTCTCTTAAAAAGAGAATGGTGGGGGAAATCTCAGGAATTTTCCATTAAGAAGAAACAAATGCATTACAGGTTCTCTCCATCCACCTCCAGGGAGCAGGCGGATTTGAGCTGGATGGGGCCTCTCTCCCTGGAGTGCATTATTACAGGCCATTCGTTCTCTCTGTGGGAATTATGTCAGATCTCTAATGTGTGTGAAGCACTGTGATAAGGCTACTCTAGAGAGAGAGCACTCAGGCTCCTCTGGGGCTGAGAGTTATTTTGCATTGTTTAGTTTTACCCTAAACCTCAAGGCGGCCCCATGAGGTAGGCAGGGAAAACGTCCCCCATTGTACAGATGAGAATGTGAAGGCTCTGACCAACTTGACCAGGGCGCCACATTTGGTTAGCGTCATGGTGAGGATTCTGGGCTGAGAGCAGGCTGCCTCATAGCATAATAATCCTCTTGGCTGGGTTCCTGACACAGGGACACAGGACCTTAATGGATGGTCCAAACTAGTTATTATGCCTGGGGAAAGGGTTAGTTTCTGACTCAACAAGGAAGAAGATGTCGTAACAAAAGTGTACAGGTCAAGATGGTGTCCAAGATGATCAGAAACCCTGGATTGAAATTCTGTCTTTGCCATTGACTCTCTGTGTGATCTTAAAGCCATTTCTTTGCCATTCATAAAAAGAGAGAATTGGATTATATAGTCTCCAAAGTCCCTAACACTCAATGCCACTGATTTCTTGACCTGGCTCTGTGCTCCTGGTCCATGCTGTCACTAATAACTATGTTCTCTTTTCCTTCCAGGGACCAGACAGTTGTGACCAGGCCCTGCTCCAGATTGGGATAAACATGATGGCATTCCCAGGGGTTAGCCACTTGGACTCTATCCCATTGCCTGGCCAGGGGTGAGTGTGATGATACTCCTTTACAAACTAATTGCCAGTCTCTGAATCCTCCCTTTCTCCCTTTCCCCATCCCTCATTCTGAATATTACTGAGCTCCAGCCTTAAGATTTGGAGTCTGGAAACAACCGTTCCTAGGTATTCCAAGTTCTGGGAAGTGAGAACCAAATTAGAGGTGTGGAAAATTGGAATCTATCTCCAGCAAGCTCCAGTAAGCTTGGGTAGGAATTAGTTACCCTCTAAGCACCTCAGTTTCCTTGTCTGGGAAATGGGGAGAACATTTTTTGTCCCTTAGGAACATTGGGAGGAAAAGTAAGGCCATGAATGTAAAAGATTCCGAGCTCTCTGGAGCCTCATTCTATGGTTATTATCATTAAAATGGTCTGAAAAGCTTGTCTTCCTCCATCCTTGGGATAAGTGAGCTTGGCAGGCCCCTTGTCTCTGGAAAAGGAAAGAATGGAAGGGAAGGGAAAGGAAGGGAAAAGAAGGAGAAGAGAAGCTGCCTGGTGCAGCTTGAAGTCAGATAAATTGGCACCAACTTATTTAGTTTGGGTAGATAAAGGTAGATACCTAAGATTAAGAAGGTGAAGATAGTAAGTGAAAAGGTATGTCTTTTTCTGCAAATAATCTTTCCCATGTTGTATAAGATTCCTAACAGATTAACATTCTAGGACTCTGATTCTCTGTTTTCCAATTATATTTCAAACTCTTCTCTGTTAAGTATCTATAATTACACTTCTTTGTTTATGCTTACTGGCTTACAGTCAGAAGATCTGAGTAGGGTGACATATATACACACACACACACACACACACACACACACACATACACATGTATATATACAAACATACACATATATGTGTATACACACATATATATACACATACATATACACACACGTATGAACATATGGACACATGTCCCAGGACTGGTCTGGACTTACCACTCATTTGAAATTCCTTCTGAGAAACATACCTTCTGACATTGGGAGATCTGTTCAGGAGCTTTCCTACTCCATAGTCTGAGACCAAGAAATGTGGTGTCTTTCAATGGGCAGGGCAAAGAGAATAGAGGGTTTTCTAGACTTTTCAAAGAAAACAGCTTGCATGATGGCCTTTAGTCTCGAGGGCCCTGACCTTATTCCCCAGCTGGCGTGTGTGTGTGGGAAGGGATGCACACAGTTCATGACTAGGCTTTGAAGACTGGCTGCCAGTTGACGTGTATGGAATAGGGTGGGGATTATTTAGATTTCATGATATCTGTTTAAACAAACTCCGTCTCTACCTTATATACACAAGGGGGGCAGGGCCAAACAAACTTGTCTTTGAGAAACATTCTTCTGCTTTCCGTCTGTGCTGGAGTCATGTGAATCCTGCTGTGTGCACCTTGGCAAGCCACTTATCCTCTGTCTACCTCAGTTTCTTCAACTGTAAAATAAGCACACCTATCTCACAGGGTTATTGTGAAGATCAACTAAGATAAAGTTTGTGAGGTACTTAGCATAGCACCTGGCACACAGTAGGTGCTTAATAAATGCTTATTTTCTATTTATCTATTCATCTACTCATCTATCTGGTCATCTATTTATCTATCCATTCATTTATGTATCTATTCATTCTTTTGTCTATTTACTTATTCATTCATTCATTTACTTATTCACTCATTTTTTCATATATTTATTCATCTATCTGTCTCTCTATCAATCTATTTGTCTGTCTGATTGGATCACCCTATCTTTCCCAGGCTGGAAGTTCAGGGGCTATTCGCAAACCTCTTCCCATTCTGATAAGCACAGGAACTTTGACCCACTCCATTTCCCACTTGGACTGCTTTGTCCTTTCTTAGGCAACCTGGTGGTCCCCCAGTCTAGAGCGCTCACCATATTAATGCTGAATTTAGTATGGCTTAGCCCACTGTTACTCAGAACTCCTGAGCTCGAGAGTTCACCAGCCTCAGCTCCTCCAGTAGATGGGATTACAAGTATGTGCCACCATGGATGGTAGGTCTGGGGGGGTGATACTTGTGTGGAGGCAGAAATCATAATGAAAGAACTTGGCACTGGAAGGGATCCTCGTAGTCATCTAGTCCAACCCATACTTGAAAGGAATACCCATTCTATCATATCTGTCAGGTGCTCATCTGCTCTTTACTTAAACAGCATGTATGAGGAACAGCTAGCAGGCCAGTTTGTCTGGAGTGGAGCTATTCCCCAAGGAGGGTAATATGAAATGGGACCAAAAAGTAGGTGGAAGTTATACCGTAGAGGGCTTTAAATGCTAGGTTGAGAATTTCATATTCTTTTCTAGAAGCAATAGGGAGGCACTGAGAATTTTGAGTGTGTATGTCTGTGGAGGGATGGTCAGGAATATCAGTAAGATAGCTGTGTGGATGATGGGTTGGGGGAAAGGAGACCAATTAAGTCCAGGTGAGTAATGAATGGGGAAATGAGGGGTTAATGAGAGAGATGTTGTGGAGGCAGAATTAATCAAGTGGAGAAGTAAGGCCAATGGGTTGAGCCTACAGAGAAGTAGATTTTGCCTCAATATAAGGAAATACAACTTAGAGCTGAACTGTCTAAAGATGGACTGCCTCAGGAGATGAACTTCTTGCTGTGGGATGGTAGGGGCTGCTGCAAATATTTTTGCTTATAAAGGACCTTTTCCTACTTCTTTGATCTCTTTGGGGGTATAGGCTCAGTAATGATATAGCTAGGCCAGAGGGTATGTAGTTTAGTAGCTTCTGGGGCATCTGAACGTCTCTAGTTTTGTAAGGGCACCACCATCTTTCCTGCTACGCAGATTGACGGCTTGCTGTTGTCCTCAACTCTTTACTCTTACCCATGTGTATATTCCATTTCCAAATATTGCTTCTTCTATGTACATCTGCATAGAGATGGAAATTAAATCTATGGAAGCTATATACATACGTATGTATGCATGTCTATATATGTCTATATGTGTACATATACACACATATATATTTATATATATTATCACCAAGATAATATATATTATCACCAATATTTATATATATTATCACCAAATTGTATATATATATACACATACATATATGTGTATATATATATATATTATATATATATACACACATACATATATGTATATATAAACACCAAGAGAGTGTAAAAAGACAAAGGAAGGAATTGATGCCAACCTGAAGGGAAGTTTCTTGTGAAGGACACCCTGATCTTGGCAATATTTTGTTTATATTTTCATCATTTACTTGTATTAAGCCATAGATGGTAGGCTTTTTTGGAATTTTCAGGTAACACAGTGCTGGAAAGGATAAATAATACATTAGGTAACAGGCTGTAATAATGGACTGAGTCTAGTAAGGGGATGCTTAAGAGGATTAAATGTAAAGTCTTATGTAGGAGTTCAAAGAACCAATTGCTCAAGTATGGGATGGGGGGGACATGTATGGTTGGACCACAGTTTTTGTGAAAAAAAGAGCTGGGGGTTTCATGCAACTAAAAACAACACAATTTCATAATCAGGAGAATGAATGCAATCTCAGGCTTCACTAACGTAATCATGGAGTCCAGGAAGAGGGTTATGGTGGTTCCTGCTGTCTGTCCTTTGCCTAAGTCAGAGTGTGTTGGGAATAGTGTGTTCAAGTCTGAGTACTACTATACTTTAGGAAAAATGTTGACCTTCAGAGAAGGACAGCCAGGACAGTAAGGAGTTAGAAGACCATTCTGTAGGAAGGCCAAGTTGTATAACCAATTGAAGATGAATCTTTCACCAAGAGAAGAGAAGATTTAAGGGGAATGTGATGGTTTTTAACAACTATTTGAAAATCTATCATGAGGAAGAAGAATTAGGTTTGTTTTATTTAGCACCACAGGAAGAAAGGAAGGAAATAAGCATTCCTTTTAGCACTTACTATGTGTCAGGCACTGTGCTAAAGGGTAGAATTAGAAAGGATGGAATGAAAATTCAGGGAGGCAGTAGACTTTGGAGGAGAGGTTCTCAAAGTATGAGCTGGGCATCGCTGGTGATTGCTGAGACCATTTCAGGGAGTAATGGAGGTCAAAACTATTTTTTGTCATAATACTAAGATAGTCTAATATGGTAGATATTGATAGATATAGCTAGGGATTTACTGAAGTCAACTCAAACTGGCTGGCAAAAACTGGCTGACTGTTAAATTGCAATGTGAGCATTTACACCTTGGAAATAGAGAAATGCTACAAATCAAGGGTTGATTTATTGTTTTGTTGATTATTCAGACTTAAAAAATTGATGGGGAAATGTTAATAATGAAGGTTAAACTTAAAAGTGTGTGGTGTGTGCTTTTATTTTTTCTTAGAGAGCTGGTTGTTACGCATTCACCAGAAGACCACTGGCTATGACCCAGTGGTTTATAAACAAAAGCTCTTTGGGGGAGGGGTCCTAAATAATTTTTAAGGGTATGAAGGGGTCTTGAGACCCAAAAGTTTGAGATCTGCTGGTATAGAGAGAACACTGGGAAGAACATTCTAGGGAAGCCTAGAGTCAACTACGTCCTCTTGATACTTACCAGCTATGTTACTATGGACAACTTAAGCTTCTAGTCTCCATTTCCTGTAAAATCAGTTTATTAAAATCTGTAGAACCAACCTTGTGTGGTTGCTGTGAGGGTGTATATAGAGTTCTATATCAATAGATGTTAGATGTTACTTCTATCACTACTACTCATTATTATTCTTATTGCTTTGGCTCCATATAAAGAAAAACACAAACAAATAGAAACCTTTGGAAGAGCTAGATTTATCCAGAGATGGACTGGGTTCCTCTGGGAAGCAGTGATTTTTTTTTTTTACTTACTGAAGCTCTTCAGGCAAAGGCTGGATGATTACTCATTGGGCATATTGTAGAGAGAATTTCTGTCTTCAAGTGCATTGGATTAAGTAACCTCTGAAATATTTTACAATGGTGAGATTCTATTCATGACACCATGAATCCTATGAGCTGATGGTTGGGTTCTATCAAGGCAACTAGGGT